CACTGTACTCTCTCTCTCTCTCTCTCTCTCTCCGCTACTCTCCGCTATCGCAGCTCCGAGGCCTACCGCGGAGATCTTTTCAATTATATAATTTGAACTGCTAACTAACTATGTTGACCAATGACTTGCCTATAAAATTCCTCCACTAAACTACTCTCGGACTAATTACAACACACTCAATCTCCCCCCCCCCCCCCCGCTTAGCTGACAAGCTTAGGATTTGAAGAAACACTAACCCTGACTGGGGGAAGAGTCAACGGGGTTTGCTTGCAAGAGCTTGGCATTTGACGTGAAGTAGATAAAAAGGGTTCATACCCCGGGGGGTTTTTTTTAACCTTTTTGTTTGGGCTGCTTCTCGATTTCTTCTCTGTTGGCTTCCTTATTTCAGCATGCGTAATTCTATCCAGTTCGGCCTTTTGTTGGCTGCATCTTTGTCCCCTCTCGTTGATGCTGAGCGTGTGCTGGGTGCATATATTTTCACCCGCCATGGAGATCGCACGCCAAAGGTCTTTGGCAACACTCAGCTGACCGACCTGGGCTACCGGGAGGTCTTTGATTCGGGATCTTTTTACAACGAGCGATACATCTCGCCAAACTCTTCTAAGCAAATCGAGGGCATTAGTGCCGAAGTTGTCAACCCAAAGCAGATCAGTGCCTCTGCTCCCCCGGATACCGTGCTGCAGAACTCCGCCACTGGCTTCTTACAGGGCGTATATCCCCCCGTGGGGAAAGTAGCTTCCCAGACCCTGGGCAATGGAACCTCGGTCGAGGCACCATTAAACGGCTATCAGCTCATTCAGCTGGTACCTGCCTCTACCAGCAAAAACGCCGAGGATTCCACTTGGTTGCAGGGCTCCAGTGGATGCCAGAAGGCGACCGTGAGCAGCAACAACTACTTTGCGTCCGAAATGTACACTTCGCTGCTACTATCAACCAAAAAGTTCTACCAATCGCTTTCGCCCATGCTAGACGGCGCATTTGCCTCGTCGGATATGACTTTCAAGAACGCCTATACCATCTTCGACTACTTGAACGTTGGCAACATCCATAACTCTACCAGTCAATTCCCTCACAAGTCAAACCTGACCGAGGAGGTATACCGCCAGCTGATTTCGCTAGCTGGAAGCCATGAATTCAACCTGGCTTACAACTCCTCTGAGAAAGTTCGCGCTATCGACGGTGCTGTCCTCGCGGGCAAAATTCTGGCTGGACTCAACGAGACCATCACTACCAAGGGCAAGTCTAAGCTGAACATCGGATTCGGCTCCTATGGCACAATCTTCTCTCTTTTCGGTCTTTTGCAGATGCCTGCTGCATCCGTCAACTTCACCGGAATTCCAGACTACGCCTCGTCTATGGTCTTCGAGCTGGTGACGAACGCTAGTGGTACCGACTTCCCAACTGACAAGTCCGATCTCAGCGTGCGCTTCACGTTCCACAATGGTACCATCACCGGCTCATCTGAGCCTACTGCATACCCACTGTACGGTCAGTCCCGCGAGCTTCTCTCCTGGGACGACTTTTCCTCCAAGACCAGCGAGATCGCTGTGACTTCTGATGACGAGTGGTGTGCAATGTGCGGCAGCACAGATGGCAAGTGCGCTAGGTCGGACAGCACCAGTGGCGAGTCCAGCTCTGCTACCAGCTCTAGCACTAGTGGCTCGGGAATGTCACTCGCTGTGGCAGGTGTCATTGGTGCTATGGTTACCCTCGCAGTGATTCTTGGCCTGCAGGCTATCTTCTTTCTGCTTGGTGGATTCCGCATAGCAAAGCGGAACAAGGCCAGCCCTGAAGCAAAGAGCTCGCCTGTTGTTGTGGAGGCTGACAAAAAGGTTTAGGTGGCTTGTATGTGACTTGTTCAGTAGGACTTGCAATGTGCAACGAATGTATGAAAATGCAATAATAACTCGAATCTGACGTTGGAACTAAATAATCCAACATGACACAGTTATGGGAGGCTTGATGAGCATCTTGCATGTAGCTGTATCGGCATATTCCATGCATCCTACAAGTCTAGTCCGAAGTGTTTGAATTGGCTTCAATTTTGCAAGTTAAGCTCCCAATCCTCTGAGCACCATAGTATTTCAGCGACATCTTTTAATCCAATCCGAACACATCATGGACATCAATATCAAGACAAGTGACCATCCCGCAGTTTCACCGCCTTAAATCGTCTCCTCCCCAACTCCTGCTCTCTTTCTCTTTCTCTTTTCTTCTCAGCCGCAGAATGCCTCGCCAACAAATTAACTTAGAACCCTACCGGGATGATATCATTACTCTTTACCGTCATGGCATCAGTAGCGACTCTATTAGCCGTACCCTCGAAAGCTGTCATAATATCCATGTCAAGGAGCGAACCATCCAGTCCCGCCTTCGCAAGTGGGGCATCCGCAAACGACACCGGACAACGACAGGCGACGAGGCTTTGCATGCGCGCATTAGGATGCTCTTCATACAGGATAAGCTGACCGATAAGGCTATGCTCAACATGTTGCAGAGAGAAGGTTACGGTATTTCTGAACGCACTTTGCGCCGTCTGCGGTTTAAGTTAGGACTCCATGCCAGAGCTTTGGCGCAGCAACAGCACCTGGAACAGGATCAACGTCAAATGCAAAAGCAGACTATTCTTCCACAGCCTCGACCAGAGGGACAACCGGTGTGAATCTAGCTTGCTGGAGACGAAGCTTGATCTTTCGCTGGGTTTCATCAAGCAGTACCCCCATGCGCGATACATCATGACATTTATCAGTAATTTCACCCTATGCGACAACGCTGGACTCTTCCCATGCGACCCATCTGCGACATTTTTTACGTCTCAATCTTTATCAACACTCTGGTAGTGAATGATCTCAAGACTCCATTTTCTTGAATCCTCTCCAGCCGCCATGTCCTTCCAACTCTCAATGGCTGACTCACGTCTCGATTTTGCAACTCAGTTCACTGTTGTCAATGCAAAATCTTTCTTGCAAAATAAGATCTCGCGGTGACTATTCGGTGAGCTGGGGGGAGTGGATCTTCCTTGAACCACCTACTAGCATCCATTGCCACCAAACGTCAAGTCTGACAAAAATGCTTAGCACATGCTCAAAATGCACACCCGAAAATTTCTTAGCTCCCCCTGCAGATGATGATCCCCAAATGCGACAAATCTCATGCCCAACGCTCAACGTCCTATCCCATGTTACATGGCTAGTGACAGGTACTTTGGGTCTCATTCTGACTCTAGGGGAAATCTGTGAAATGTGTTATGTACAGTTGGATTGATAAAGAAAGACTGCTGATTGAAATTTTTTTTTTTTTCAATTAATTATATCATCTTAAACAAAGTCCTTGGAAACCAAATAAGCAAGGGCTAGATCGACGTCACGTGCCATGACGTTCCTTTCGAGCGTTTGGTCGGAGAAACCACCCCATTCAGTCGCAACACTCAAGCGGGGGTGTCCCAAGCCCCGAATACACTCCAAAGCCTCGCTCCTACCCTCTTGCGGCACTCGCCATAGAAAGGCAGCTTACGTGCCCATTATGTCCTCTCAATACGCCAGCGAGCCCAATCCCACTGCGTCGGCCACGCTCAACACCACGGTTGGACCCATCCAGATTGCGCTCTTCGCAAACCAGACCCCTCTCACTTGCAAAAACTTCCTCCAGCACTGCAAGGACAACTACTATGCCGACACAATCTTCCATCGAGTGGCCCCCGACTTTGTGATCCAGGGTGGTGATCCCACCGGTACTGGCTCCGGCGGAACTTCCATCTATGAATACCCGGAATTCGAATTTGACCCCGAAGCTCGGGACCCGGATGAGCGGGTAGTTCTACGCGATGAGCTGCACAGTAGGTTACGTTTTAATCGACGTGGCTTGCTAGGAATGGCCAAGAGTGAGGACGGGACTTACGGCAGTCAATTTTTCATCACGCTAGCGAATACGGAACGTGAGATGAACGGAAAGTGTACAATTTTTGGAAGATTAGAGGGGGACAGCATCTACAATGTGTTGAAGATTGCAGACGCGGAGCGTATTGCGGGCACTGAGCGTCCTGTTTATCCGATCAAAGTGACCTCCTGCGAGGTAGGAGAGCTAGGACCGCTGGAGGGCAAGTTGAAAGATAGAAAGACAGTCTCAACAACTGCCGGAAAGACAGAGAAGGCTCCATCCAAGAAAAAGAAGAAGGCTACAAAAGGCGGGAAGACGCTTCTGAGCTTTGGAGACGAGGGAGACGAGGAGATTCCCATGCGCCCAGCGAAGCCGAAATTCAACACCAATTTGGTAGTGGATGCGCCAGGTGCAAAGCCCGAAATATCAAACCCCCAGCGCCGAGCAGAAGCCCCATCACAGCCGCGCAAACGGCCCCGGTCGCCATCTCTAGATCGAGCACCGTCTGCAGAGCGTAAAAAGCGGCCAAAGACACCAGAGCCAGAGGCACAACTCCCCCTGCCTGACCCTGAGTCCCTTGCTCGGTCTCCAACACCAGAGGACCCACCCGCAAAGGAGTCCAAGCTGTCGCGGACAAACGCTCAGATTGCCGCTCTGATGGCTTCAATGCGCCGTGACGTCGATGTCAATCCTAAGACAATAGGCCGAAAGAAATCTGCTCTAGAAGCTATGATCCCCGAGACCTCAATTCGAGGTCGAAAACGGCCACCTCCAGGGACGGCAAACGGCTCCAGTCGCAATGGGACAGGACCCAGTAGCGCCGCTGAGCGAGAAGCACTGCAGCTCTTCAACGCCTTCAAAGCCAAGCTCGAAGGCGCTAAACCCGCACCAATTACCAGAACATCACAAAGCAAAAGTCACACCGACAATGACACCAAAAATCAAAAGGAAGATGAAGAAGACGAAGAGGCCCAACTCTGCGACCTGCACTTTATTGCGAACTGCCAATCCTGCCAAGCATGGAATGACCCTAAGGTAGAAGTGGACGACCCCGAACAGCAAGACGGAGGTTGGCTCTCGCACGAACTCCGCTTTGGGAAAGATACCCTAGGCAAAGACTTGAACTGGAAGCGCGAGCACGGAGGTGAGGCAGACTCACTCATGGTGATTGATCCTCGTGAACGAGAGAAGGAGGTGGTTGGACGAAAGCGGGGATTCCAGCGTGATAGAGAGCGCGAGCGTAAACGGGAGCGAGTAAGTGACTTGGAATGGGACAAGGGGCGTTGAATTACTCTTATTCGTTAGATGCCATTTGCTTCCAAGTATACAAATACCATCTCTGCCTATTAGTATGCTGACCCCGTACATATACTGAGATCTTCCTTGTCCGACATTTTTAGCCAGGCGCTACATGCATTGCAGCCACCGGCGTCTTCCAAGGTTACAAAGGCAGTTAGTTTTAGGACATGCATGTCTCCAGAAACCCCTAGGATTGGTTATAATGCTCACCTTGGGGGTGAGGTTAATTTTATAATTTAAAACCTATTCGAACAGCTAGTTTAGCACCTAGTTAAGCATCTCAACCCCCTGGTTGGCGCGAAGGCGTCTAAATCCTGCCGGAAGGGCCGAGCATAGCGTCGATAAATGGGGCTAATGTGGTTAGGGGGTAGTTTTTTTAACTATAGCGGTACTGGTTCACTGTTCCTCAGCTACACTACTATAATTTCGCATGTTCTACACAAAGCTTCTCGGGTATCGTGATATCGAACAGTGTCTAGTCACAAATTGGACCAATATACTACAAGCCATGTATCAAGGAGGTTTTGAACAAGAAAAACGATATATCTCCACAGCCCCCAGCGAGACACACTAGGGGAATACTCTCTTGGCCCCAGGTACTTATAACAAGGTGGTTAATCGCCTGAGCCTTGAGGCATGGTGGTATTCAAACAGTCTGCGTCTCCATTATCTACCTTTCCACGAACCCTCCTTTTGTTGTGTTTCAACCAACTAGACAACCAAAGCAGATCTGGGAAAATTTCTTGAAAGTTCACCAATCGAATTTCGACTCGCAATTGCAGGTTCGATTGAATACACGTCTCTATCTTTCAGACAATGCATGTGCACAATATATGTTGTAGGGCTCAGCCACAGCCAACCCTTCGAGGGTGGAGAAGATCCGGTATGCCGGGCTGTACTCCGGCATCCAGTCAGTCAAAATCAATCGACGCCCCGGACTTGGTTGCTGGGATAGTCTCTCTGTAGAGTAGTAAGAAAAGATTTATGGTCAATGCATCATATCCCCAGGGATTAGTAGATTGGAAAGGCGTCGACAATGAACCCAAAATCATCATGCTACGTCTGAAAGAGTGCAAGATGGTAAAGCAAAGGTATCTCATTAAATTTCCAGGGATTGGTTCATTCACGGATCGTAATAGGTTTGTACAGCCTAGTCACATCCCCCCAGGCACACGAATAAACCCCGTAATGACAAACGCCTAATTGTGCACCGAGAAGTTTTCTTTTCATCTAAGCCCTAACCCGTGCGTGGGTGTCTCCGTCTGACATTCCTTGCGCTGTCGACAGAATCAGGCCTTTTTGCGCCGTTTCGTCGCACTGCCACCATCATTTACAGCCTCGCCTGGATTCTCTGTGGCTGCGGGACTGGTAATTTCGCTATCCGTCAACTGCTCGATCACGCGCCCAGATTCATCGTAGCCGACACCGTCAAAGCCATAGTTGTAGGTGGGATCGCCCTGCACATTATGAGGGGTTTCGAAGAGATCAGGCTCGGCAGGAATGTGATCGAAATCGAACAGGTCATTGGTGTCTCCGTCGTCACTTTGGGTAGTTCCTACAGGATCGTGCGTATTCTCGCCGGTCCCTAAGTGGCTCGTTGGATTCTCGACCTGTTTTTTGATCTCGGAACCTGCATCTCCAATGTCGGTGAAGTAGTCGTTGTTGAAGATTTGGTCGAGATCAAGTGGCGGAGGAGGTACATTGCCCTCACTATCGATGCCGGGGATGGTGCCGTTCGGGCTCAAGGGCTGGAGAAGACTAGTCAAGTTCTGAACGGAGCGATCCTGCTCAGCTTGCATCTTGACGAGGTTGTCGATTTCTTGTCGGGTGTCGGCTAGTCTACCCGAGTAGTTGTGCGGCATGAGTGGTGGATTCGGCGAGACGAGCGCGTTGTTGGGGGATACGCCAGCGTTGGGTTCTAGTGAGTTTGTTTCGTTGGCCATGAGTCGAAGCATATCGGCGCGTTGATTTGCCGTGAGGGGAACATTACCACCATGGTTTTCGAGAGAGGAGAGCATATTGGGGAACTCAGAGAAGTTTGTTGAGAGCCCGTTGCGTGCATTGGAGTTTTGAATTACAGACATAATGTCCCGTTGAGGGGAATTCTCGTCCGTCGGCTGTCCTAGGGAAACGTTTGGAGCGCTTGGGCGGGGGCTGTGGTCAAAGACCTCCTCTACATGGCCGTGCTGGTTGGCGCTGGGTTGCCGAGCATGACCACGAAACCGTGTATCATAGGAGCCACCGGCCGATGGTGAAGCTGTGGAGGGCCGAGTATACGCATCCGTTGCGGGCGGAGCCTTCAAAAGCAGTGGCGGCTTCTTCATTGTTCTCTGGGTACTCGGGCTAGTCATTGATCCTAGAGCATTGGTAAGGTAGTCATCATCAACATCCACAATGTTTCCTTGGTCCTGCGAAATGGCTCCCGCAAAAGAATTCGCGAGGTTTTGTGGCCCACCCTCTCCCTGCAAACTGCGGTTGTATACAGTTGCAAGGAAAGTTAGAATGGCATTGATCGAGTTCTCATGACGAGTATGTTGCTCTTGGAAGTTGGCTGCTTGGGCATAGAGTTGCTCGTGTTCCTTCCGTAGCCTGGTTATTGTGGTTGAGATGATTGACTGCTGTTGGCGAATCGACTGAAGTTCGCGATATACCCCAGAGAGTTGATCACTGGGCACAGAGCTATCCGTGACTAATGACAATTGCTGTGGTCGGGGAGCACGGTTATCGCGAGGAGCCGGTGCACCCTCTTCGATATAATCGTCCATGTCGTTATCATCAATATCCTCCGTCTTCACGCGGGTGCCGCCCTTGCTAGGTTTGCTCGCATGTCCGCCGCCTCCAGCGTTCTTTGGCTTCTGAATGAGCCATAGCAAATCTGGGTGGCCTCGTTTGAAATAAGGGTTTGCGTATTCGCTGGGGCTCTTGTTTTTCCGTTCGCTGGCGCGCATTGAATTATCGGAAAGTCCGACCTTCTTGTGAAAACCGTACATGTTCAGCTGTCGGACGAATGAGGCGTAGTTATTGTGTTTGAAGAGCTCAGGGATCAAAGTTCTCGCAAACTCGTCTTCGTCTAGGACGACGAAGGAATTGCCATCGTCGGACCATCGAATCAATTCTGTATTCTTAGATTCGTCCAAAAAACTGCGATTCTCGGTCAGTCCTAAAATTGCCACAAAGCGATTCATGTATCATACCTGCTCAATTTCTGTACAAAGGGCGGTATTTGCTTTCGTTTTGCCTGTGAATCTCTCTTCGCAGTCAAAGCTCGCCGGTAGAGCTCCTCTAGAGATTCCCCCCATGCGCCGCTCTCTCCGTTTCCACTATTTCCTCCGTTCTCCACATACGAAGCAGGAGGTTGCTCGTAGCCACGGTTTCGGCTGACCACCTGGTTCGCTTGTCGGCGGGCAAGCTGATTAGATGCTGTCGCAGCCGGTGCAGACACATCTTGGGGTGGCGCAAAGCCTGCGGGGTTGTAGGAAGAATCAGAGAAGGGGGCGGTATTGATGGCATTGACGGGGGGGTTCTGGCCCCATTGCAAGAATTGATCGTTCGAAAGCTGAGAGCCGGGGTTCGCAGCAGTCGGAAAGTTCGGTACAGCGTTCATCTGAGGATGGACAGGCGGTACCGTTCCCGGTGCAGGTCTCTTGCGAGTCATTCCTTGCGAGCTCATTGTGAATAGGCTGGCGTTAAGGCGTCGAGTTGAGTCTTATCGCGGTGGGGTTCGATCTGAAATTGTATCTCGATTTTTTTTTTTGGTCTCTGAATTCGGAGACTGAGTTGACCGCAGGAATTTTGCCTAGGAGACAAAGGAACCAGATGCGAACTCAGTGTGCAGGAAGTTGTTCATCCAAGTCGCTTTCCAATTTTGAGTCGAGATGGGTTTGACCACAGAACCGAGAAGGAAAAAAGGTGGATGGCACTGATCAGGGCGCAAAATCTGTCGTATCCAAACTGGAATAAACAATAGACCACAAAATTCAACAACAGGCAGCAAATCAAGGACCAGCAGTGATCAATACTGGGCAGATGACGTTCAATGGGCGCGTGAATTGTCCAACATCCAGAATAAGGCGGGAGGCTCCAGCAGAAAGCGCCCACTGGGCGGTGAATGAGTTGATATGCCAAGTATTATATCTAGATGCACCCAGTTCGAAAAAACTGGAGGTAATCAAACGAATGTACAATTTTGTCAATTAAATGATTTTGAACCGTCATTTTACTCGGCGGCGCAACCCAGTTGACCCGGCTCCTGGAGAGGCGTTGAATGAGTCAGCAGGATGCATGGTGACGAGTACAAGTACCTCATCTTACCATGTGATCACACGTGGCTATCAGGTATAAGTACCCATAGATGAACTGCTGTTTGGGATTCTAGAATTCACAATGGTAATGTCAATAATGCCATTTCACGTTCACAAACTCTCAATCCTCTGAATTTTGCAACAACCAACTACCATTAGGCAGTCCACAACTGTCCCCCTCAGATGCATCAACACGGCCCACTCGATAGTTTGTTTGGAACTAGATTCCCCTATCAAACCCCGGAACTCCGTCAGAAACGGTTGCCATACCTCGGGTTGCCTCTGCGTGAAGTTTTCGACCTGTTTTGGAGCAGACAAGTCTTCTCACCCACGGGACTCATCCTTGGTCCCATTCAGCACCACCACATCTTTCAAGCTCATAACTAGAGTATAAAAAAAAACAGCAGCCGGGGTTACTTTAACATGGTGAGCAAGCTGTTGCACTGGATCAGAGTGCACAAGGTCTGGATTTGCTGTCAAGGTCCAAAAGCTTTGGTATATGACCTGATTCTCGCGGCAGAACGCGCGCAGGGGGACATCAAACAGAGTTTCCTCGTAGAATCTGTTCTGTACCACTGACGGCTTCACAGTTGTCTGAGACGAAGTACACAACTCTCGAAGTGTAGGCAATGTACAATTAGAGATGCCTGAATTCCGGATAAGGTGGGGGACATACGTCTCGAGGGCGTGCCAAGCCTCCAGGGTCTGGGTTAAAGTTGACAGTGGCGAATGGATGATCACTGTGTCAATGTAGGTCTCGTCCACGGAGTCGGGGTCAACCGGTGAGCGAAGATTGTGCAATGATGATTTGATAGATGCATGGACTTGATCCGTCAGCGTCGCTGACGGATCGTAGGGCAAATTGACCAGTTCCTGTGCCAAGACAGGACTATATTTGGTTTGAACCTAATTGTAGTTAGCAAAAAAATCATCAACTCCATTTAAATTAACAAATGGCAACTGGCCACTCACTTATAAGTCTGCTCGACTGACGGTCCCATCAGCAATTGCTCTGCGGATGCCATCACCAATGAGGTGCTCTTGGTAATGGCGAGGTTGGGCTGCTGTATCCACAGCCCGGAACCCGGCTTTGATTGCATTGTAGACCGCACTGCGTTCTTTCTTCCAGGCTGTGCCGTAGACGAAAACTGGGATGGTGGAGACAGTGCCCTGAGTTGGACGCAGGCGATACTTTTCCCACATCTTGCCGACAATCCGGGTCATCTATGTTAGATGTAAACTGAAAAAGGGTTCGAAATTCACTGGCTTTGATTGAGTATATAGGGAACTAAGCAGAAGGACGTCCAATTTGGAAATGCTCCAAATGATGTTATGATTGCGGGATCCACTTCAATGCTTTCTTACCAAGTAGAAGCCCTCACCAGGGCATCTTCACAGCTGAAAGATGGATATAATATTTACTGACAAGTCTAGGATAATTTTACAATCTACTCAAAATCCCGCCAAAAATTTGACAGTCGCAGTTATCTGGACCAGCCATCTCAAGTCACTTTTGGTGATTTCAATGGCATGCATCATATTTCTCCAATGGTATGGATAGGTGAATGACAGGCTTTAAATCAAAACTTCAAGAATCCCGAAGCCTGGAGATTGATCCACGTACGCAAAATTCTTGGTCGGATGTATGCTCCGGGGCTATCTCCTGATAGCAGAGTGGTGAATGAGCTCGGCTCTCGACAACCTGCAAGGGCATCTTCGTTCATTTGATATAGATTCAATCCAGATTTTAGTTCTCGGGCTCGGAGCCCTGTAGGGAGTACTTCGTATAGGACTCCGCATAGTTACAACATAGATTGTCGATTAACCTATGGTCAAGGCTGCAGGATTTCCTGGCTGAAATGCACCGATTGGCCCCACAGCGTGGCTTAGACCGTGGACTTGTATGTTGTATAGGATCTTCTGGGTGAAATAGGACCCTTGTTTGGCAAATGAAGATGAGTATGGAGAAACCGAAGACTGTTCAAACGTTGGTTAAACTCAGTTCAGGGATAGAGCATAGCCACAGTGCCTGCATGTTGACCGAAAATACATGGGGAACACAAAACCAACCTGCACGATATTATCAGCACTACCTCGATGATGTTCCTATCCAGGCTCTTGGCGCAGTCTTGGCCAACAGCAAAAACCAGGCAGCTGCTTTTGCAAACATTGGCGGTCCTCCGGTGATCGGTGCATCCAAGTTGCATTCTTTCAAGATGACCTTGTGGTTGACAAGGATGGACACACATTGGGGCTCAGCTCGCTTTCTATCTCAGAGCCCTGACGATGCGCGGGGAGTGTCGACAAAGAAGACCGTCTTCTACAGTGATGTAGAACTAAAATGCAAATACCGGGTTTCTCAAAATGGGATTAGCGAGCAAAGTGATCTCAACTTCAATATTAAATACGTGTTGAATCCCAGCTCTTGATTTCGCTCAAAAACAAAAATGAAAATCAAGTTCATGTACCCTCTGCAATTTTCAACGTCACTGATCATGCATACTCAGCAGCTACTCCCTCTTTGTGGCCTCTTCCTTGCCGGCGTTGCCATCGCATCGAAATTCGACCACGACGACGTCCCCAATCGCTGCTGGCCTGCCTGCAGCTCTGTTGTCGGAATCGCCAAGAGCTGTGATGCCAAGTACGAACGGGATGCAGCTGAAATACAATGCATTTGCGATTGGGACGCTGCCAAAACTCAGATCCCGCTCTGCTCGGCCTGCATCACCCAGTATCAAACTGACAGGCTCAACCACAATATCACTCAACACGACGATGATGACGGTAAGGAGGATACAGATATTGACGATAATGGTAACCGTATGTATATTATGAATAAACACCAAGATATATTTATATCTAATGCGTTGATTAGAGGTCCTTGACCTTGTCCACTCTTGCTCGCTCACCACGACTACCTCCAACCCTCCCGCTACCACTACTACAATTGGCACGTCTGCTACCACTGATAGTTCAAATGCAGCCACTGACACCGGAACGGACTCTTCTAGCACTGGTGGAATCAACAGCCAGGATTCGACTTCATCCGATTCCACCGGTGCCTCGTCGGGCTCTGCATCCTCTCCCATCCCTACTCCTGGTGCTGCAGTTGGTATTTTGACCCCCAGCGCGGTATCCATGGCAGGTATCATGGGGCTGATGGTTTTTGCTTGGGTGTGAGAGCTCCGTCAAAGATGAGCGAGTGAGGAGGCACGAGACGGTTTCCTGAACATGTTCAAGGCCTTGGATTAAATCTTCAGATGATCGATGAGTTGGGTTCGTTTTAAGATGGTCTAAATTCAATGCAACTGATGGTTTTGTGTTTTCGGAAAAGACTCGAGCGGGAGAAAGCATGGTGGTCAAGTATGCTTAGCGATGGGGCTAGAAGTGACTAGCTGACCGCTGGAGAAAGCAGAAAGTGAAAATGTCATTCAGCAGCAGATCTAAGAAGCAATCACGTTGAACATTGAGGCAAGCCCAGGTATTGATTTATTCCGGAAGATCTTCATATAAGGTAAATTCAATCATATCTCGTTCGCAGGCGTTTCCTCTAAAAGCAGGTCATCCACGGGCATTTCATCATACCAATTGCCCCAGAAGTCATCATCGAAGAAATCCTGAGCTGGCTCCTCATAATCCATAGCATATACATCCTTGTAACACTGTGCCTTTGCAGGACAACTGTTCACGGTTGAGGGTTAGCATCAATTTCATAGACATTCCTTGTGTTCCAACTTACAACACGGGATCCTGCCCGAAAATTATGTGCCATATGTACTCAAAGACACGGCCACTCGTCTCGTCATCTAACTCGGTTGTCATAAGCCAATGATGGTACGACTCATAGGCGCTCCGTGGGCGTTGGATGACCTGCTCCCTGGTTACGGCGAACTGAGCACAACAAGGCGTAGCAACAATCTCAGGCACATCCGTGTTGTTAAAGATACGAATCCAAGCACCCGCAAAGGCAAGCTCGGTAGTGCGACCAGCCATTTGCCGGAATGGCTGAACCTCATCGGGACACCCGGGACTCCAGTCGCAACGTAGATTGAGATATCCAACTTGTCGGAGGTAGTCAAGTTGCAGTCTTTGGACGGTCAACACATTGTCCTGCTCCCAGAATTCCACGTGGCCGCTATATTGATGAGCGTGGAGGAACACCATGTACTCGGGTAATTTGTCGTAGTTTTCTAGAATGTATTGTAGGTAGGCACTGCTTTCCTTTCCTTTATTTTGTTCCACTTGCAAAGATGCTTCGGGGTCATCGACAAGGTAGACTGCGTGTTGCCATCTAGAATTCGATGACGGGATTAGCGGTGGCACAGTTTGCGATCGATGACTGGTCTACGGAGACATACTCTGGTAGCTCCTCCTCAAGCCAATTGGTATCTTCGTACGACATCTTCCCCAGGACAATGACGCGATCCGATTTCGGAGTAATCTTTGGACGAAAAGGAGCAGTAAACGAAGGTGCCATCACATCATTTTGCTCCGCCAGAGCGATCAGATGGGCATCGTCGAAGGAGTTTTCTGGATCATACAGTTCGGGTGCCCCTCTAGATCTGAAGAATAGTTCTCCCGCCCATTCAGCGCCGGGGACATCGACGGGGATGCGCTTCGGTTCCGCATTGGCCATCACTGGACGAGGTGACCGGGCCGTGGGGGTCCATTTCCTTCGGGTTTGGGTACGTGATGCTGGCGTCGCAGTATGGGTCGAGACCAGCTCTATATATGCATCGCCATCTAGAAAGGGACTAAAAGTCCTTCCATCATTTTGCCATTGCAAGATGGAATCGAGGTGAAATTTGACCAATAGCAAGGTTATCATTAGCACACTGGCTATAACTGCTCGAAAGGGAGTTCGCATTGTCCGGCATGCGATGAATTGCAATTCAACCAGATCAAATCAATCGAAATCGAATCGAGATCCAAGAAGCGAAAAGCCCGCACTTTTAAACATGATGTTAGTTCTCCACTCCAACGTCTTGGCCGTCAGCCCGTCAGCTTAGCCGCGTATACGTACCCTCTCTAGACAGTGTACTATCCGCTTTGTTTTCTAGAAAACACGTTTAGACATGTTCCATGCTGCTTTTTGAGCAGTGAATTTTTTTTTTAATTGAATTTTTCAAGTGAAATCATCACTATCTACGCAAGTCTCAATGCGGTGAGTGCAACCTCCCTCTATGTGGGTCTGACCATCGGATTTTGTTTTTAGGAAACTGTGAATCTTGGAATTTTGGAAATATCTCCAACTGACTCGGTGAATGTTCTACCGGGTAGGGTTGTTCTGTCCCCCAAAAAAAAACATGGTACAAGGACTTGGATTTAAGGACCGGTGAATATCAATCCAAACCGAGTCGTTTAAAATGTAACCTTGCAACGGTTGAACTGGGTTGAACAGATTAATCTATTACATTCTCGACTGGCATTTTTCCCTACAACGTACGTCAGACTTTGAAATGGTTCTTGGCCTGATTTCTCAGGCCTTCCACTATGTGGTCTGGACCTTTCGTGGTTTCTTTTGAAACTGGCTGTTCAAGGGATGTTTAAACATGACCCCGGCTTATAACTATCAAGTACAACATAACTCATAGCTGACTCGGAATGACTCGTGTGGACATGATTTTGACTTCGAAGATCAAAAATGGGTCTATTGGTCGAAAGATGTCTCACCTTCCAGGGGAAGCCTGAACCTCGTTATCAGTCATGAAATGTACGGTGTAAACAGTGCTTTTGCCTGGTGCAGCTATCTCGCAGGAAGATCCTCATATCTCGGAGGATTTCTTTTTGTCTATTGTTTTTTCGTCGTTTTTGATCGTTCCTTTTTTCTTTTTTTTTTTCCCCCGGGGAAAATGGTCCTACTCTGTGTATGAAGTACGAGTTTTGATTCACACGTCTATGGTTAGTCTCCGTCTATCCTTCTAATCTTAGGCTTTGTAATGATCGAGTCAGACGTCCAAGTATGGCCTGGTCCCTTCATTCTACAACATAGTTATGTAGAGGTGAAGTCTGCTTGTTCCGTTCACCTCAGGGGCTGATAGTCTTTGTTCCCGGGCCTGTTTGAATTACTTAAATAACGTTTCCATCGTTAAGGATCGACCTAGCCAAGGAGTCCCTTGCCTAAGTCACAAATTGCTCCTGGAACGTGGGTGTGCTTGCGACCCGACCCGACACTCTGTAGATCAATCAGACCTTTTGAATCCACTTCCATCATGAATTTTTTTTTCTCTCTCTGCTTTCGGGCTGACTGTGAACTCTCGTCCTAACAGCCTGTCAGGTTGAGTAGAGCGCATCGAAAGTGCACCAAAGAAGTATCATGTGCAATATAAACAAAAACCCCTTCTCGGCAGCATCTCCCATGCGGAAAACATCTTGCATGGCAACCGAAGCGAACCAGACTAACCGGGAGCAAAAAGGGTCGCAGTCTTTTCTAGTCTTTTCTAGCGTTTGATCCGAACAATTATACTTCGTACGGAAGTCGGAGTAGTCAATTCCGAGTGCGATTGTCGTACTCCGTGACCACGAGCCGGGAAGCTCCAGAGCTCCACCCGGGATCTGACACTGCCACTAAATGTTCCAACCAACGTCTAGCGGGTTCTAGCTGGGCGACATGAGCCTCTGAGGGGCTTCGGTGCATGCGCTAGAAACGGGGGATGCGCGGATCGTGGAGACCAAACGAAAGTTCCAATTTCGTGGAGCGCGACTGGCACAAACAGTTAGCTTGCATGTAGTGTCAACTAGCAGCTGCAGCTGCCGATTGGGAGGGGGGGGGGGAATAAGGTGACCTATCCGACTGGGCCGAACCATGAGGAAAAATTGTTAAAATAACTTGGTGGCTTGTTCACAAGGTGGCGAGTCACGAAATTCACCTTGGGAAGAATGGGGCGAATTGAAATTAGGGGGGAAACTAACTTCAGGAGTAATAATAGGAATACTCAGTAATTATAGAAAATCCCCCTGAAGTAGAAGGAACATTCAGAGAATACGGAGTACGGAATAAAGTAATTAAAAATGGAGCGGAGTCCATGATAAACACGGAGTACTCCATATGCATTTCCTGGCGTGTAAAGAAATCATCTATGGACGGAGTACTCCGTACTAACCCCTGCAAAGCACGAGGCAGGGCGCGAACCCCCGACTTCTATACGTCAGGCGACCCGTGGGACTCGTGCGCATGCACATAATTCCAGGAGTAATCCTCCGGTTAAAGGAAGAAATATCTCCCTATGTTGTTCCCCAAACCTGTTCAGGGATGAGAAGTGCACCTTAGTGTCCACGGCGGGGTCCTCTAAATCATCTAGTAACGAGCCTAACGAGGCACCGGTGTCTTGGTAAAGGGCTAAGGAGCATTAGGAAATGAGAAAGGAGCCGAGAGACTGGAGCTGTTGACCTCTGATTTGGTCATGGGAAAGACGTTCAGATCTGAAAATTCCAGGGGAAACGAGAGATGAAAAGGGGAATATAGGGAGATGGAAGAGTGTCCTCCGCCCTCCGTCCTCCGTCCTCCGTGCTCCGTGAAGTGTCAAGTGTCAAGTATACAGTATAGTACTGCGGATAGGCAGTATGAACATTACAAATTCAAAAGAACTAAGCAATATCTTGTGCTAGGGCTATGCTCCCTGTCATGCAGTCAAAGATTAAATAGTATAATCTCATTGGTATATCCACCTAAAGACCCAGGGGCAATAAAAGTTGAAGATCTAATATAAAAGAAGTACTAGCAGAGTAATAATGTAGCACTAAAGAAGTGCTATAAGTATGGCTATTCCTCCTTTTGATCCTTTTTTCTTACTGGTTTATTTCTTCAAAATATCCTCTTCCCTTGCATCTCTCTAACTGATCACTTTTCCACCTCGATCGTCAAGGTTCTTCTGTTCTCTCTTCCTCTTCACCCTCTTCACCCTCTTCTTCTCTCTACTTAGTTCACCTCCTTACTCCGTTCTTGGCGGATTTGTGGACCGCTTTTCCTCTTGAAGACCTTTCTCTCTCTCTCTCTCTCTCTCACACACACACATTTCCCCCGCTCTCTTGTTATTTCTATTGAGAGATCCTGTTCTCTGGTTTCATCTTTCATCTTCTTGGCCTTTTTTTTTATAGTGGGAGAATATCAGTTCCAGGGAACTCCCGGACCAAAAACACCCACACCCCAACGTTGTGGGAAAAAAAAAGAAAAAAAAAGAGATATAAAAAGAAAGGCAAAAAATTGCCCCTTGAATGAAACGAAGCAATTAATCTTCGTGATCTTTTGGAGATATTTTGGCTCTGTTTTCTGTGTCGTTTTTTGTCCTTTTCTATTTTTTTCTTCTCCGCCCAGAATCTCCCTCCGACCGGCTTTTGGTCCAAACTTTTCCTTCTCCCAAACATCCGCACAATTCCGTCCCTCGACGGTTTCTTTACTTCCAAAGCCTTGCGTCGCTCTCATGGTGGAGTAGTGACAATTATTGCCCTAAACTGGTTTGGATTTTCACATTCCTCGCTCCGGAATTCTCGATGAGTTATCAACAAGACATGTATCACGATCATTCTGCGCGGTCCCCTGGGTCTCAGAGGCATCAACAACCCCTACACCGTCAGCCTTCCCGACAGTTCGACGCATATGGCCCTATGCCGACCAACATGTATGAGCAGGATCAGATGCGTTACGAGTCCGCTCGCCTCGAACGCTTGAACCCCTCCCTGCAGAACAATTATGGATATGATATCTCCGGCTCCCAGACCTGGAACCCCAACGGGTTTGCCAATGCACAAACTCTGGGAGGAATACGCTCGGCTTCCGCCAGTTTGAAGCCTAATTCCCGTGGACGTGCCGGCCTCCCCACGGTAAGTTTCGTCTTACGAGACAATGGATTCCCCTATCTTTTCTGCATGGTGAAAAAAAACCAAGGATGGAAAAACTAACAGCCGTTTCAAGACATGGTTGGATCAACAACCGAACATGCCCCAGGCATTCTCAAACCTGGGCCCTGGTCCCATTCAGAGCAGCGCCATGCGACCGGAAGCCTCCGCTTCGTCTGCCGATGACGATGAATTGATCCCAACCGCGATTGTCATCAAGAATATCCCCTTTGCTGTCAAGAAAGAGCAGTTGGTGCAGTTGATGACGGAACTTAACCTCCCCCTCCCCTACGCATTCAACTATCACTTTGACAATGGCGTCTTCCGTGGTCTGGCCTTTGCCAACTTCACTTCCGCCGAGGAGACAGCAACCGTAATCGAAGTGCTCAACCACTTCGAGCTACAGGGTCGGAAACTGCGAGTCGAGTACAAGAAGATGCTTCCCCTGCAGGAACGGGAACGGATCGAGCGCGAGAAGCGGGAACGCCGTGGCCAGCTGGAAGAACAGCACCGCCCTATGGGGGGAGGCCCTCAGCTCCAGACGCAGAGCTCCATGTCTTCACTGACCTCGCATATCCCGGCAACCTCCCCTTCGCCCGTGTCCCAGCGTGGCCAAAAAATTGGTGGGTCACACGCTCCTTTCAAAGATGAAAATTTGACCCGTCGCTAATCAATTTTGTTCCGATGTGCAGATGTAGACTTGAACGACACTCAGACCCTTTCCTATTACTCACAACTACTCCTGTTCAAGGAGGATAATGTTCGCGATTCCGTGATCTTCCCCCACAATCTCACTCCCTC